TACTACTACTACTACTACTACTACTACTACTACTACTACTACTACTACTACTAACTGCATTTTTATACATAATGTACTTTATGCCTACAGCAGACACCGTAACGACCGACAGCTTGCTCTAACTCTCCTTTACTGCACCAATCACACACTCTGGAGATTTCAGAGAAAAGTGTCGTTCTATAAAAGGAAAAGAAACATGGCTTCCATAGTCCTTATTATGTTTTGGCCCAATAACACAGTGCCATAGTTTTATATACACACTCACACTCATTTTGCTTGGACGCTCTAAACAAAAACAAAACAAACAACCCCTCCCAAAAAAAACAAAACTAAACAAAACTAAACAAAACAAAACAAACCCAACCCCCCCCTTACATTATCCTGATTTTTCTTCGCCGCCACCTATCTGTTTAGGCTCTTTATGTAAGTTCTCTGGTTCTACCCCTGTCTCATTTGCCTTTGATTTTGTCAATCAGAGCTAGTTGTTTAAGGCCTTTATTTCTATTCAAATGTCCTAGAAATTGTTTTTGCCTTTTCCTGATTGTATTTTTTTCAGCGAACGGCCCACACCATTGCTTACCTTCCTGGAAATACCCTTTTCCATCCGGAGACTCCAGGGCCTGTGTATTTGCATCTGAAATCAGTCAAACAAATGTTGTAAGTACTTTTGTGCGTCACATCTACAATCATGGAATAACATAATCAACTGACATAGTCATGCAACAACAACAACAGCAACAAAAAAGCCAGAACTGAAATAAATATTCACTGGCAATTGCTACAGCCTGATGGTACATGTATTTGTTGGGGTAAGATATAATAATTGTGGACTTAATTTTCAGCCGAGAAAACCTGTGCACGATGTATCTCAAAGTATATTAATACTAGGTGGGCTCCCTTTCAAAGAAAGGAATGATCAGTGCATTAACATCAACTGAAAGTCATTGGCCTACTATCTTTACACTCTACTGAAATGGAGCAATAAATCTTGAGAGGAAAGTGACACATGTTTTTCCAGTTGCCGTCTTAGAAGACGAACTTTCCCAAGTTAGATCTAAACGAAACTAATGAAAAACCGAAAATTCAACTACAGTGACTTCAGACTCATCAATAAAACAGTGCACATTTCGAATGATTCTGAATCACTATTAATTTTTTTCAAATTCGAAAGTTAAGTGGCTGGGAAGTTTTAGGCTGCTAAAGTGACGGATTTTCACAAATATCTGTTATCTATTAAAGTGGTGGCCGAATTTTGCTATTCAAAAGGCTTTTTAATGGCTGCATCGATCGACATGCGGTTTTCACCAAAAGATTCTTTAAAATATTCTCCAGATCGTGACGCCCTTGGTTTTTTTCAGTTTTGAGACAGTTTTGCTGCAAAATGCTAAATTTCTTTATTTCGCCGATCGCGTTTGTGGGCCGACGCTTCTGTCTCTGTAATTTTAGAAAATCCGCCAGGTTTGTTTATTTCAAGTCGTACTTCCGTTCGATACTATCGCGCATTGTCGCGCAGTACTGAGCACTATTTTAAGTGTGCGACCCGTATAGATCTAGCCTCATGTTTTCTTTTTTTTACCAATGACTTTCAGTTGATGTTAATGCACCGATCATTCCTTTTATATGTAGTAGTAATATGTATAGATGACAGTTTTGCATCCCCCCCCCCGAAAAGTATGTTCTAAGATCAAGAACGATAAGCGATTCCAGTTTTGATGGCAATATAATAATTATGTACTGTTTTGAAAGGAAGGCAAAATGTACTGCCATAGTTGAATCCTAGCTTACTTTAACCCTCTCTGTACGCCCTGGGGTCATTTTGTACCCCCGGGGTTGTATTCTTCACATTTTAGAATACTTCTAGTACGATGATCTCTTTGAATCTTTCAGTATTTCTTAAAAAATATTTGTGTGGCTTCTTGTTGATGGAGTAGTCAATGCTACAGTTTTACAGTAGTCTCTTTGAGGCTGGGACTTTTGTTCTTTCTAAACACCTATAAGGACAGACCACACCTCCGAAACGCCAGTATTTGAGATAATACCACATGATCGTCAGAACCATAGTTACTCGAGAATCGACGTTGAATACATCCGTTGAGAGCTACATACTCGTATGTTGTCATGATGCGGTGGAATCAGGCGTTCGTCAGTTTTTGTATATGTGGAGTTATTGGTACAATTTCAAAGCCTGTTCAGTTGTCTTACTTTTGTTGAAAATAATACTAACACATCGTAATTTACAAAAGTCGAGATATTTGCGATTGAAGGAGTTGGGGGTCGCCAGGTTTCAGAGGTGAAATTAGCGAGACAATGGCGGCCAAGGGTATCTGCTCTATAAAAATCGCGAAATTATTCGGAGTCGTTACCAAGATATTCAAATAATTGCATTCCAAAAAGCTTTAGGTTTTGTAAAACTCAAAATTTTTTACGTAAAATTTTTCAAAACTAGATACTGAGCAGATAGAACTTTGGGATTCTAAAGTAGCCTATTGCGATGTAAATAAACAAAACCAAAAAAAAAAACCAAAAAAAAAAAACCGAACGAAGAAAATGTTCGACTTACGCTTCAAACAAAGTCCATGAAACTCCACCGAGTCCAGCAAACGACATGTCTCCGTTATTGTAAACGGGCGGTAGACACACATACTCCTGTAGTGCTTCCACCCGACGGGGCACAGTTTGACGTCCAGAAGATTGTCCTCGTCATCCAGCTCACTGACCAGGGCGTTGCTGCTGTCTCTGAGCGTGGAGGCGAACTTCCCGGGGTTCATGACGGCGTTGTCGTTGTCGTTGTCGTTGTTGTAGGAGGAATCGTTGCTCTCATCAGAGCCGTCCATCGCCTGAGTAGGGTGGTATCCTTTCTCTGCACTCGTCGAACCTAGGAAGCTTTTTCCGGCGCCCAGAGAGAAGTCGAGGGAAAGAGTTGCGGATTTTCTGTGATCTTCCTCTTCCGGGTCTTGTCTGCTTGTGTCCGAGTTCACCCTGGCTTCTGTTAGGGGAATACATTGTAACTGTTGGAATCAGGCAGGAGGACAATAGACAAGAGTTGATATCTGATCTTGGAAGAAATTTGAGAACTCTTTCTGATACGTTCAAGACACCCCCCCCCCAAACAAAACAAAACAAACAAACCAAAAAAAAACCCCCCAACCAACAACAACCTACGTCCAACTACGGGAAAAGAGAAGAAGACGAAGAAGAAGAAGAAGAAGAAGAAGAAGAAGAAGAAGAAGAAGAAGAAGAAGAAGAAGAAGAAGAAGAAGAAGAAGAAGAAGAAGAAGAAGAAGAAGAAGAAGAAGAAGAAGAAGAAGAAGAAGAAGAAGAAGAAGAAGAAGAAGAAGAGCGATAACATTATCATTATTAGAGTCATGTCATTTTGTTTCACAGATGATAACAGCATTACCGCATTACCGTGGAGTAGGAGTTTGGGGGGGGGGGGGTGTATCGATGATTAGGCTCTTAGTCATTGCACGCAAATGACGCGATTTCGATCCCGTGTGAAGGGATCCGTTTTATCTTATACCTCCGCCGCTTTTCTTTTGGAACTCTATGTCTCACTCAGCTCAGGCTGGCCGTGGTAGGCAGGATCAAAGCACCCTGCTTCCGAAAAGGTCTAAATTGAAACTACAGGGGGCAGCTTGCTCCGCAAATGGTCTAGATTGTATTGATAAGGGTCGCACAACATTTACAAACATTCCGCTCATTTTGGCTCAACAGTGGACAGTAGTTAGTGGGTGAAAATGACACCGGAAGAGTCGAGCAGTAAACAGTTGATGGGGGATCATAAACTGTTCGTGAAGCGGTTGACAAACACAGCCAAGGCCTCTCGTGGTGATGTCAAATCGCCACAACGGGCCACTGGAGGAGAGTGCCCCCCCCCCCCCACACACACACGGGGCTTTGTGCGAGTGTCGTACTTGAAAAGCCCGCCACTGACCACGACAAACCTATCTCCGTTTTTACTTCTTAGATGACACAACCCGTTTTCTCCTCTGTCTGTAATTACTTTATGCCTGCCGCGTTGTTTAGGTATTCAGCGGATTCATTATTTTACTCTTTTGTAACACTTACAGGCTCGGCATTGATTTCTACAGAGCCCGTCGGGGTGTAAATATCTAGATATTATGTCCAGTCTTGTTCTCTTATGGCTGTCAAGGCATATTCTTTAATTCATCTAACTTATATTCCCTTTTTTTTAAAGCTCATGTTAATGTTTAATATAGCAACTATCATCTTCCGGTACCTTGCCGCTGCCGTGGGCGATCATGGACCTCCACTCCACTCTGTCTTGCGGTGCAGCGATGGTGTCTGCCGTTCTTGCTGTTCCCAGCTATGCTGTCAACTTGTCCGTTATCTTTTTCCTCTGTCTACCCCTGCCTCTCTTTCCATAAAACTTGCCTGCTGTTAAAATATTCTCCAATGCTTCCTTCCGCATTATGTATCCAATGAACTTTGCTTGTCACGTTTGTATATTCGTCATAAGCTGTCGTCAGAAATTGGCTTCAAACCAAGACTTCTTCATTTGTTTTTGTAGCTGTCCATGGGATACGCAGCATGCGTCCTAATAGCAACTTAATATGCAATGTTATAATACTTACGTAGCAAGACACATTTCAGTACTCTGGCCTCCTTTAATGAATAGAAATGACAGGAGAGAGAGAGAGAGAGAGAGAGAGAGAGAGAGAGAGAGAGAGAGAGAGAGAGAGAGAGAGAGAGAGAGAGAGAGAGAGAGGCAGTTTCTCTCTGTAAACATAACAAGTAATTGCCGTGAGAACTTCCCTCTCGTAGGCCAACAGTAACTAACTGCTTGTACAGAGGCAGGCAGAGCAAGCAGCACTTGCTCCAAAGCTAAACTTACACACCCTGGTGGGTTGACAGAATAAAATCTGTAACATTTTAGATAGCGTACTTTGTGTAAAGGAGAAAATTGAGGCTAATCTTGAAAGGGGGCTTGAGTTTGACAGGTTGTGGTTAGAAGAATGTGTCTGTTCTCGCCCTCCCCTCCCTCCCATGCTGATTTTGAAGTTGACTTTTAAACTTGGACCCGTCAATTAAATGACACCTCTGCGCCATCACCAGCAGCATCACCCCCAACCCCCCCCAACCCCCCCAAACAAAACAAAACAAAACAAAAAACCCAACAACCAACCCCCCTCCGAAAAAAAGAAAACAACCTACCAAACAAAAAACCCCAAGGCCCCTCAAAAACAAACCAAAACCACCACCACAACAACAACAAAATCAAAAAACAAACTAAAACAAGCACCGTAACTGCAACAACAACAACAACAGCAGCAGCAACAGCAGCAGCACCACTAGCAGCAGCAGCAGCAGCAGTACGTTACAACAAAACTCACTTATAATGCACAGTCCCTTGATGCCGATGCCGCCAAAGCCGTCACAGTACATCGCCACAGCTCTGTCGGAGGCTCCCTTCCCTTTGGCCACACAGAACCTCTGGTAGTGGTACCAGCCCTTGGGGCACAGGCTGCCAGGCCCCCCAAGACTCTCGTGTAAGGGGGAACAATCTGCGGAAAAACACACAAAAAAGGTGGATTAATTCATTATCTCTCACAGTACGTCCCTCCCCCCCTTTTTTTTCTCTCTCTCAGTAGTTTTTTAAAATCTTTTCTTTTTCTTTTTTTTGGGTGTAAGTTTTTATGGTGCTCGCAACTGCATAAGGTCATATGAGCGTGCAGGACACACTAGACATTTTCAGTGGGTAGGAACTTTTGAATTTTGCCCGTGCGGTGGCCGAAACCTACTCTTATATCGATTTTAGACCACCAAGGGATCTTTAACGTGTGCAACTTGCACACTGGACCTCCCAGATTTTTCGACTTTGTCCGAGAAGGCTGAGTGTAGATCTTTCCAACCAGAGGATCAGGGGTGTGGCTGAAAGACAACAGAAAGAAGACAAGGAGTAGCAGTAGAAAGGCTGCAGAAAGAGTCAGGAGCCCAGAGGAGGGGGCAAAGGAGGTGAGGGGTGGGGGCAGAAAGAGGAGACGAAAGCAGACGACAGAATATTGTTAGAGAGCAGGAAGGAAGGCGAAAAGAGACACGATCGCCTGTTTGTTTTCAGTTTCAGGCGATCGAGTCGGGCGATCGGCCCGATCCAGCTGTAGTGTGCACCCCGTATTATGTTGACTTATAAAACCATCTCGACATGACCTGATCCGTCTACTATATTAAGATCGAGATATCGATTTTAAAAAGCTCACCAAAATTTAACGGTATGGGCCGATCTCCCTCCCCACCCTCTCCATTTCACTACTTTCTTCTCCATTTCACTACTTTCTTTTCGTGTCGGAATTCGCGTGACTGCAGGTTCTTCGACTCACGGGGAAGCTGATATGCTGAATGAGGCCACATTTACTGCCCTTTACTACCACTCAGTAGGATACAGAAAGCCACATGCAGTGCTCCAAGGAATTCATTATTATTATTTTATTCATTATGTCTCGATATTTTGGAATGTACGAGAAGCCACACTTGAGTCTTGAATCTTTTCCTGGTTGACTGGCTGAGCAGGTGTGCGCTTTACATCTTGTGTTAAAATATTTGGGGTGCGTAAATAACCTATATTTAAAATAAGGATGAGAGCTTACTGTAACCTTTAAGAGATTATGAAAGGTTGATTCAATACCCTGGCGGATTGAGGAAATGATCTGAAATGTAAGGATGCATCACACCTGTACTGTGAAGTGTAAAGATGCATCACACCTGCACTGTGAAGTGTAAAGATGCATCACACCTGTACTGTGAAGTGTAAAGATGCATCACAACTGCTCTGTGAAGTTACGGATACCTCACATGTGAACTGTGAAGGTAAGAGTCGTAACCCAACAAGTGTCATTCATGTTGTGATGTCACGATATTTCACTGCATTGTTTATTAGTTGGGTATAATGTCAAATTATAGGTATGAAAAAACCCCATCAACATGAGCTAAGTTTTGAAGTTGGTGAAAGTATTGTTACATTGCTGAGCCAGTTTTAAACTCTCGAAGTTTCTTTGTAAATGTTAATAATAACCTAATATTTTTGGCATTTAAGAAAACAAAATCGCCCATCGCAAATTTTCCTCTGGAGTGAAAGGGCAGTGACATTTAGAGGACAGATTAGGACCACAGTGATGTTGTGTGTAGACTGAGAGTGTCCATGAAAGTATCATTGATATCTTTTCGAGGAAACTTGACGCTATGACAGGTAAAACAGTGTGCAGAATGAAACCCTTTTCTCAATCGCAGCAGTTTAACACTCAGCTACGGTAGCCACAATTTTTAAATGGCAGCTGTGAATCGTCAAGTGGTTTTTATTGTTGAGAATTGCTTGTCACTTCTTGAATAGACAAAGTTGGCAAATGCCAGTCACTGGAAGGAGAAACTAACCTGTTCGGGTTTCAGACTTTTGAAGGTATGTTTGCAAGCGAGATTGTCACGAAGTGTGTATGGTGCAATCTTTTATTTCACAGACTTGCGCAACGTTTCAGAACCCGTTAACTCTAGATGACCGACTATTTAATTATATATATGGCCTCTCAAAGAGGTCGTACCGCCCGCAGATCTCTCGCCAGAAGAGAAATTCTCGTATACCTCGTCATTTTCTCTTCAGGCAACCACACAGGACCATCTGGAAAGTACGTAATTGCCTTCAGCTATTGCTCTCAATAGGCCATGAAACTTGGGTGCAAAACTAAAACGTGATATATTCCCAGCCGGTGCTGATGTAAAAATAATAAATAATGACTTTTGAGGGTTTTTTTCCCTTCCATTTTCTAATTGTAGACGCTACAAGTTTAATGAAGTCAAAGTTCTTAACTTTTAGAAAACCTATGGCTCAATTCACTTAATTTTCACGACGTTCATCCTCTAAAAGAAGAAGAAATCATATATCATAACTATGAGGTACAGCTGTGACTTCGTTATCGCCTGAATGTTGTTTGACGCGCTTCAGTAGACACAAATGACCTGAACATAGAAACTAAAAACCTAAACCAGGACTAGACAAAATCAAAGCCACTATGTACCCCACTTCCCTAAAAAAACCCAACAAAAACCCAACAACAAACAAACAAACAAATCAGTATCCAAAAAACAAAATAAAACCCAACAACGACAACAACAACAACAACAACAACAACACTCCCTCCCCCCAAAAAGACCCAACAATAAGAGGACATCGTTAAACCTGTAGCGACACGACAAATCAGTAGCTCAGTTGGGATCATACGGGAACATGGAGGGAAATATTTTGCCCGAATCCCCGGTGCTGTGTTCTGTCTTAGCTTATTATGGGGAGTCTTTAAGACTCTCCATTCACTTGGCTTAGGCTTGGCGGAGAAGGACGCTAAATTTGGAGGCCTAGCCCTTTAAAAGACGTTCCGGTGTTTACGTGGGCGTCAAACCCACATCACATCGGATACGTAGAAAAGGACATGTGGTCAAACATAAGCGCCTCTCTACGTATAATATTGTATCTGGACATTGGAGGGTGTGGCTTTTTAAATGTCATAGTTTTTTCTAAATCCAGGGACCACACTGTAATTCCCATCAAACGTTCGCCTGTTGGCCGAGTCCAATGCATTTTCCCCCTTTGTCATTGAGCTGAAATGTCTGGTCTCAACAGCTCAAGAAATAGAAGGTTTAACTCGATGAGGACCCGCGATCTGGTCATGGGACAAAGTTTGAAGTTGCGCTGTTTTGGGGAGCTTAAAAAAAGAAGGATATCTTTGTTATTCACACACATTTTTCAAGTCTATTTTCTTTGTTTAAAAGTTAAAAAGGCAAGCAGCAACAGTCATGCTATCAAATATACAAATAGTGTTTCTGATTTGTAAGTGAATGTTTAAAATGTGCCCCACAATTGCTTTTGGTCTGCTGCAGTTGGTGGGACCTATGTATGCACTGCGTCATTTTGGGGTTAAGAAATACAATCCACTGCGATATGAGCACCACGGCGGGGTGTTAGATCCACACACTACTCTCTGTTCAGCGTTCAGAGCGCCCCTTACATCCCCCACACACAGAGGCGAACAGCTCTAAGACCCCGGATCGGCCGGCCGCCTCCACGACCACTAGCAAGGGTGTTAATCAGGAGAACATCCCTCTTCATCAGTGAGAGTCGTGTCGAGCAGGCGAGACTTAAGCCTCCTAAGCAGTTTTCCCTCCCGCTTGGAGGAGGGTCTCAGCTCATGAGTTGGCCATTGACCGCCGACTACGTAATGTCACGGTTGTCCATCGCTCAGGGAGGAGGAGCGCCGACCGGTCATCTCAGACAAGCTCTCTCCCAGGCTCAGGGACCGATGTTGAGTGGACCCAGAGCACCCAAGTAGTCTACTGGGTTTGGTAGAGTTCAAGATGTACAGAAATGTGTTAATTTGCTGCTGGATCGCACGACCGTAGGAAGTTATTCAAACGCTTCTAGACGCGCTATTCAATTTGACATTGATAGTTTTTCTGGGTGTATTTTCTGAGGAACGATTAGTTTCGAGGAGTTTACCATAATAATAATGTAAAGAACAGAAACATCAAGAGTAAACGCCCAACAAAAGAAAACACTTAACACTAAGATTAACATGCACATCATTTCCAACATAACAGTATTAGCATCCTCCTCCTCCTCCTCCTCCTCCTCCTCCTCCTCCTTC